CCTCCCTGTTCTACGTATTAGAACGTTTCTCGCGTCGTCACTTCCTTCCTGTGCAAGAACCGGAAGTTGCCTCACGGTCACATGACGTGAGAGACAGACGGCCATTAAAATTGTCGGAGATTATTTTCTCACCTGGGGAGGGTTGAAACTCTTGTGTACTGAGAGCTGTCTGTCTCTCTCTCTCTTTCTCTCTCTCTCTCTCTCTCTCTCTCTCTCTCTCTCTCTCTCTCTCTCGAGCGCGCTCTCTCTCTCGCTCTCTCTCGCTCTCTCTCTCTTTGTATCTCTCTCTCTATTTCTCTCTCTCTCTCGCTCTCTCTCTCTTTCTATCGCTCTCTCTTTCTATCTCTCTCTCGCTCTCTCTCTCTCTATCTCTCTCTCTCTCACTCTCTCTCTCTCTCATTCTCCATACAAAGAAAAGAAGGAGGAGAGAATAAGGACGATGGTACGATGGTTGCTTCGATATAGACAGACCCTCTGTAGTATCACCTCTAATCTCTGGCACTTATATTTAGCGTATTTCTGTTACAAGTGCAGTAAAGCTCATACTAGTCCAAAGCGAAACAGTACGATAATTTCATGACACTTTCTTCACTTTATAGAAGCATATCCCAGAGAGACACAGAGAGAGAGAGAGAGAGAGAGAGAGAGAGAGAGAGAGAGAGAGAGAGAGAGAGAGAGAGAGTTCAGTACACAAAAGTTCAAACCCTCTCTAGATCTAGTATTACCTCTAATCTCCGACACTTCTACGTATTTCCGTTGCTCGAAAATGCCGTAAAACTATCACTAGACCTACTGAGCAAAAACACTTACTTCACTTTATAAAAGCAGATCCCAGAGAAAGCGTCTGCAGAGTGGCCCATGTTGTTGGGGGTTCGGTCTGCGGTGCAGCCGGGACTTAGGTCTGTTAAATCGCTGTTGTTGTTATCGCTGGTCTCGTGGGCGACGGGGTGGTCGTCGCTTCGGTCGTTGTTGTCGTTGTCGTTGTCGTTGTCGTTGTCGTTGTCGTTGTTGTCGGGATGAGGCACGTGGTGGTCTTCAACACCGCCGGTGTTGTTGCTGTTGTTGGTGTTGGTGTTGTTGTTCTCAGTTGTTACAGCGTTTCCCCCCTCGTGTAAGAAGTCGCACGGGTCACTGTCGGTTTGTGCGCCAGGAAGAGTCACAGAATGATTGTCGCCGCTTTGTTGACAAGATCCGGGAGAGAAACTTTGGCTTTTTATCTCCTCGGGGGATCTCCCGATGTGGTTTGCTGGTCCCTGGCTTTCGTGGTGAGATTCTTTACTGCTGCTGCTGCTGCTGCTTCTGCTGCTTCTACTACGGCTGCTGCTGCTGCTGCTGATGTTGTAAACGTCTTGGATGGGCTGACTTTGGGCCTTGTTGCAGTCGTCAGTTTGATCGTCGTCGTTGTTGTTGTTGTTGTTGTTGTTGGTAGTGTTGCTGCTGCTGCTGCTGGTGTTCTCCGCGTTGGTAGTAGTAGTAGTGGTAGTAGTAGTATGGCTATTGTTGTTTTCACCGTTGCTGTTGTTACTGTTGTTACTGATGTTGTTGTGGTGGTGGTGGTGGTGATGGTGGCGGTTATGGTGTTGGTGACCAGTATTCTCTCGAATGTTCCACTGCGCCAAAGACTGCTCTACACTACTGATTACTAGGCTAATGTTTCCGGCCTCCAGCTTGCCATACATGGAGGGCCACGTGACCCACGGGACAAGGTCAAGGTCAGATAGCGCGATGACGTCACTCGGTCACTAATTGTAACAAGTCTGTCAACAGCAGCATCTGAACTGTCCACACAGAATATACACACGGGGATAGCCTACACGCTTTGAAAAGATTTATTTTTACTATTAAGTCCACAGAAATTATTAAATGAGCGATCATTATGAAATGTTACTAAATTAACTAAAGAAATAACTTTTTTTTGCCTAGTTACTGGGTAGCGTAAATCAGATACCCGAGAGTTATTTGTTCTCAATTTAAGAAACATAATATTTGCATAAATTAACTAAAAGTTGAACCGTTTGCATTGGAGGCAGTACATAATATTTGTTTGTACTTTTTAGTTTTAAATAAAAAATTGAACGGAGCCGAGTTTAGGGTCCTGTTTGGACAAAGACGGCGGAGAAATGTTTGCTTGTTTGTGTTTGTGTGTGTGTTGGTTTGTGTGTGTATGTGTGTATTCCTGGATAAAAAGTTTCAGTTGTTGGTAAAGCTATTTTTGAACGGCGGGTGAAATTGTGTTATATCTAGTCACAAGTTTAATCCCATCAAAAAACACATTTTTAACCATTTCTTAATAACGTATTGAAAGGCTTCTATAACATTGTAAGTTTAAATATTTTTATTGTTATTTTTACGACCTGTTGTAATTAACCAATGGTTAAAAAATGTACTAGCAATTTGGTTTTTCTTCATCCAAACTTTGGTTTTACCCTGTGTTACAAAGTGTGGCATATCTTTAAAACTATTCAAGACAATAATTTTGAAAAAAAATTTCATCAGTGTGTTTAGCATTAAATTTGCTACAAGAAAATGCCCCTGTTTTAATATAAAAATTTCCTACAACTGTGACCTTTCTCCAGGCGCACGCGCACACACACACACACACACACA